ACAAATACGCCTGTGTTGTGTACTTTTTGTGCACGTGTTCAATTAAACACGTCCATTTGAGGACAGTACCGATATGTTTAGTTATCTACTTAATTGTGCATTCGTTGACCGGTGCAGATATTGCCACTGATGCCAGCCCGTGGCCCGGAGTCGAACTCTGGGTGGCCGGGTTGAGATCGCGTAGTGCGCTAATCACTGAGGCTAACTCTCGCTCAATCGTGGCATATGCAGTCGTCTGTGTGGTCGATGTGAAAAAGCACGTCATGTTACAAAATAGGTCATTTACTTATAGATCGCTACACACCTGCGTTGAATGGATGATCTCTCTCTCTCTCTCTCGAGCGTATGGTATGTGCAAATCACACGTCCAAGTTTAAATCTGTTGAATGGATAATGACACGTTTTAAATGAAATATGTTTAATACTTGCATGTATTTAACCATATTGTTGCTATGTCAGTGCCTGTACGTGTGTGTGCTGAACGTCTTTCGCACCGCACGTAGCCAACCGTGCTAATCGGAGGTGCGATGGAACTTGATTCTGTGTTCAAACTGCATGCGCATGGTGGTCGGTACGGCATTACACCGCATAGGCATTCGCATACATTTCAAGAGATAGCGACTGGAGATTATAGTAATTCCGGTTCATCATGGCCAATGCCGTTGACGCCGTCACACCTCGCCCGTCGCTTCCTATCCTGCCGCTAGATCCAGAAGCTGTCGTACAATCGACACCCGACCGCCGAAAATCAAGTCGCATCGTCGTCATCATCGCCGTCATCAAAGCCCTTGCTTTAGTTAAGCCAGCAGGCTTAATTTCGGCCGGGAGCTGCCCTGTAGGCTGAGCCCCGTCAAATATTTCCGCACCTTAAGCTATGCCGTAGACACTTTTGTCTCGACGGGAGCAACCGGGTTTGCGTTTGGTGCGGGGGGACGGGGGTTGGAACAACCAGGAAAATATTCCACGGATTCCGTGCGACGTTGTGCTCGGAGTACAACTACTGCACGCGACGGGGTCTATTGCAAGTACAACGGCATGGGTAGACCTTCAACCAGCAGTGGATTGAACACGGCTGATGATAACTACCGCACGAGAAAGCACGACTCGCGGGGAGTCGACTGAAACCATCATCCCTGGGGAGGTGTGGGGCGGTCAATAAAACGAGTACCACTTCGTGGGAAGGCAACCAGTGGCAATCCAATGGATGCACTGGCCCTCGCCCAAAGAAACGTCGAATTTGCCACACTTAGGGGTGCCAACAGACATGAGCGCATGCTAAGGTTCGATACCCGCTGCAGTTTGCCACCCGGTGACAGTCCGCGTCCTTGTGAAATAGCCGTTCGGTAATACTGAAATGTAGGCCATTGTGTTCCCGAGTCTCAATCACGCTACATGACGTCGTTTAAAACCAGCAGGCTATTACGCGCTTGGATATCTTAAGACCCTGTGACTTCATTTGCAAGAGTAGGCCACTGTGTGTGTAGTCTTGTAATCGTTGGCTCCCGTATTGCAAAATCGTAATAATAACAATACTATAATGATAGCAATTATGATCTACGTAACCACAGGCCCCAGGTCTCTCTTATCCCAGCTTCTCTTTGCAGGAGCTCTAATTTTGGTTTAATAAATGTTCGTCGGGATAAGCTGAATACGTTACGCTAGGCTACTTGCTATCAACTTACATTACGTGACTTTACCGAAAGAACCAAGAAGATTAATCCCTGCAGTCACGAAAGCTTTAAATCGAAATTTACATTTAACATTTTGCTTTCAATTGTTTTACTTGTTTTGATTGATCACTGTTCGAAGGACAAAAAAAACAATCTCAAATGTGTCGTTACGTTTTAATAATCCTAATAACAACAACAATAATTTCCAGGCCTTTGTCATTCCACTACTAAATGAGGGGCTTCCCACACCGAGTCGCTCGTTTGACTATACTTCACCACGCCGGTCGATGCGAGTTGGTGAGGTGGAGGGGCCCAGCACCGAGACTCCAACAGAGGAAATATTATCTGGAGCTCAGCGCCCCCGGACAGCCCCTGGCAGAAGCGAAGCCTCGTTCGAGAAACCTCATTGCGAGAGTGTGAAGTAACGTTGAGACGGAGGGTGACATCGTCGTTGTGATTTAATTATAGAGCGAGGGCCCTTTGTCTGTATGTGCACTCTGCTGGGGTAGACCAGGTATTGCAAGTTCGGTTTCATGACTTGAACTAAACAAAAAAACTACTTAAAAAATGTTGCCAGGTAAGGCCCACTGAGCTCACTTCATAGCTCTTCATCAGAAGTGACCTGATTATTGCAAATACTTTGAACGCACGTTGATTCTAAATGTGGAGGGAAAGACGGGAGGACCAGGAGAAAAATCCACGCGACCACGGAGAGAGAGAGAGAGAACATGCACACTCCATATATACAACAGGCGTCAGGGTCGGGATCGAACCCACGCGCTCCTGTATACCAGGCGAGGTAGTTAACATCTCGCCACCGCGGCACCTATCACCTTGGCGTGTTTCACCTCGTTGTGTCTCGGAACCTCCGTATTTGGCTTGGGCTTGCGCACCCTGCGATCTGTCGGCTCCAAACATGATCGTGTGTCTCCCCGCTCAACACGAGCAGTGGGGCACAACTCATGTCGGTTCTATCGGTGGCCTTGAAGTCAGTGGTGGGAAATTCCACGTTTCTATGGTGGGGGATCATCATCACTATACTTTAAAAAGTACTACTAATTCTATGCAACACTCGAGCGTGAACATTTTTAAGGAGGGGTGGGTGGAAAAAAACTTAGATGGGGGGGGGGGGGAAGTCAAAGCCAATCATCACCATCATCACTACCATCACTACCATCATCACTACCAGCACCAGCACCATCCTCACCATCACTACCATCATCATCGCTACCATCAGCACCACCATCGTCAGCAGCATTGGTACCATTATCGCACCTCTGATTAGCACGGTTGGCTACGTACGGTGTGCAAGAAGTTCAGCATACGTACATGCTCAACATACAATGTTAAACTCTAAACAATTGTTAATTGCGAAACAGAATGAGTAACAGTACGATCTGCGTGTGTCTATCGTGCCTTCTGCTCCGAGAGAAAGGATGCGACGCCCATCGCTTAATTTGCCGCCGGTGTTAGATATTGTACCAACACGTCTTGACGTGGCCGTAACAGTTTACGGTTATTGGCATGATTGACGCAGTTGTTCCGGCTCGTATCTTTTTTTTAAAGTAGAAACACGAGTCTACTTGTAAAAACATTGTTCATTCCGCCGAGACAAGATGTGCCCTTGTAAAATAAACCACGCTTCTCAAACTCGACGTTTACCTATGCCCTCTCCTGCCGGGGCGTTGCGTGGCAGTGGCTGTCGATGGCGCAGAGAGGCGGTGGCTGAGAATCCACATCGCTGGAGTCGGGCGTGGTGGTGGTGGTGGTAGGCAGTGGCTCGTCATTATCAGAATCAGAATATTTTATACAGGTAGGAGAACAACAGGTTCCACACTTCCCACCAGGGATTATTTGTCTGTCGTGCATATTTGTCTGTCCAACCTAAGTTCCTACCTGCCCACTCCGAAGGAACGTGTTTTATGCTGGAGGAACCAGATGAGCTATGAAGCTATTTTGTTCACGGATGCCCAGTAGTAGGAGCGGGTGTAGAACGTTACAACAACAAGCAATACAAAAACACGATAGGAGAGAAAGGTATAGGAAAGATAAACAAATCACTTAAAAAATAAATATACAAATATATCGTCCATCTGCAGTGGTCAATCCACTGCCGGGCAAAGGCCTCCTCCCCAAGCTGCTGGTCCCGATCCTGCGGTGTCAAACCCTGCCGAGCCGCTCACGCACGAGCTGCGATCACAGCTCCATCTCCACGGTTGGCGTCCTCTCTCTCTCTCTCGGACGCGTTTAGATCCTTGGCTGACACTCTATCGCTGTTCGTGAATTGTGCACTGCATTGTGACGCTGGCGGCTTGAGTTTGATTACCGGCCATGGCGAACATCCGTGTGCGAGAGACACCTGAACCGCTACCAGGTCACCCCCCCCCCCCCATGCTTTTCACCAACTCACAGTAACCTACGTGGCGACGTATGGTCCAAACAACCCCCTTGGCAAACGTGGCTTGGAAAGTAATTCATCCAGCAGTGGGTTTACTGGGCTTTACATTATTATTATGGAATGGATAAGTGTATCGTTAGCATGACAACCACCTTTTACTTCTTACAATGGGGTACTCTTTATAATACTTATGGAGGGTGGTGATGATAATGATGATGGTTTGGCTGAGTTGACTGACTAGTCCTGTCGGCTTTGATGCTCACGATTGAAAGCCCAGTTACTAGCGCTGCATCCAAACAGATGTGACCCATTTTACAAACACAGCACCTACGCACACCCTACATGTACCCTATACAAGTGTAAACACACCAACAACAACAATACACATGTAAGAACGATGAATATAAAACAGACCACTCGTTTGTTAGGGTTAGGACTCGTGTCTGGTCGGTCGGTCAGTTTGTTAGTTTGTTACTGGACATCTGTGAAAAAGAACTTTACAGCTCATCGGATCCCTTTAGTATAAATACATATTCCAAAATATAAATGTTTTGATTCCGATTTTTTTTGTATGATATTGATAGTGTTAGTGTTAAAGCTGTTGTTGGGCATGCACGGTGCAAAATAAGTTCAACATACCCATATTGTCCGGTTACTGTCAGTTTGTGAGCGTTAACGCTGCTGTTGGGTACGTACGGTGCGAAAGAAGATCAACATACATATGGCCCGGTATGGCCAGTTCATGCTGGGGCCAGAGTTTGGTTGGCTGCCCCGTTAACCCCCCACGCCCCCCCCCCTCGCCCCCCCCTCGCCCCCCCCTGCCCCCGCCAGCGTCGCCCCCTTCCCTGCCGTGTTTGCCGCGTAAGGGCCGTTCACCCCCGTGTCCGCCTGTCGCTCTCTTGGTGTTCACAGCGCCTGTGTTGTGTGTCCAGGGCTCGCCGTACGAGCTCAAGGAGCCACACGGCGCCATGCTGGCCTGCGTGCCTCCCGGCGTGAGCCTCTACGGGGGCTACGCGGCCGCCTCCCCCTACGCCCCCTACGGCATCGGAGACCCGTCGCGGCCCAAGAGCGCGACGCGCGAGAGCACGAGCACCCTCAAGGCCTGGCTCAACGAGCACCGCAAGAACCCCTACCCCAGCAAGGGGGAGAAAATCATGCTGGCCATCATCACGCGCATGACGCTCACCCAGGTTGGTGGTGCTGAGAGAGAGCGCGCGCACGTGCGGAGTGGCCGGTTCGCGCGCATTGGGTCACCCGGTGACCCAAGTTCGGTTTTCCACTCGCTGCCAACAGCAGTGATGGAGTATCTGAACTGGGCCTGGGCCTCCCCTAGGTTAACATCGCCAGTGAGGAGACAAAGGCGTGTAGGGGTGTGGTGCTCACGAACAGCACTTGCCCCAAAAGTATTTTCGAGGCGGTGCCGTTCACCAACAGTTTGTTAAAGCTATACGGGGTGGGGTGGGGGGTTTTTGTCTGCATCTTCTTGACAAGTACATGTTCTTATAACTTGAGGCGATTGCAAAAGGCGCTTTGTTTCACAGACCACAGTGTGTGGTGTGTTAATCAAAGTAAATTCGGGAGTAATTTTCAAATTTGGATATCGACGCCGGCACACATGGCCTACACTTTTTTTTTCGAATGTCGCAACAACAATTCAGTGCATTGTACCAATGGTTAGTACGCCGGCAGTATTAACCAGGGCAGCCTGCTGAGCTCGAACCGCAAACTCCTGCGACAATTCAGCAAACGCACCACCGCTCGGCCAGGTCACATCACACCACGTGGTGCAAGTGGGTTTTCCGTCAGCTGTGAAGGGGGCTTGTGAAGGGATACTGCCGAGCAGTTGGAGGCAGTTGTCCTCCGGCAACAACGGAGAGCAGCTCACAACAACGAGCGGAGCACCGGGCGGCGGCTAAAACGCAGAAAGTTGGCGCAGTGGGGAGCACAGGGGGTGCATCTGCCACTCAGCTCAGTCAATCAACCCATGGCACTAGGGTCTGTCCCGTGTCCTCCTGCCAGCAAAACCTTTGATGCTTCACATCACCTCAAAGTGCACCTAGGCTGGTGCAAGCACCGTGATGCCATGCGTGTCAAATTACGCCCGCCAAATTACGCGTGTAAGGATACATTGTTTTTGATTTGTATATATTGTGTTTGATTTGTTTGTGGCCTTAATAGACACTTGCTAGCGAGTGTTCGATTCCTAATCATGGATGACAGTAAATGGGTGATATTTGTATGAAGTACAATGGACATGGAGTGATTTCGTTGTGCTCTGTATGATGTGCTGGCATGTGTGAGTGAGACTGCATGCATTGCGTTGCTGAGTTATAATAATACTAACACGTATTAGTGTGTAATGAAGGTTAATTCATATACCTAAAGCAACACAATGTCAGTCACACTGTAACTATATCGCATTCTCCGAGTGAATAATAATGGATGTGTGTAACCACCACATATCAATAAAAACCCATCCTGCAATGTGACTTTAAGGACATTTCAGTCGACATGATTCCTTTGGAAAAGTTTTCTTAAACGTAAAACGTCCGGCTATTATTCGGGTTTTCGTCTTTTAAAAGTAATTTCGGTCAACACTATTTCACACGGTGCGCATACATACGCGCATGATCTGAAAGAGACCGCATTGCGAAAATGTACGCAAGAAAATAAAATGCGGCTTGTACATTTTTACGCAAATTACCTCTTGCGGTTAATTACAGTTTATAGTCCGTAGTGTGCACCCAACTGACGATTGAAATACTGCGAATTCAAGTTGCAATCTTCGGAGCACTCTACTCATCATTTCTAAAGGGTCATACTGGTAGGAACCTCCTGGTTACACCAGCCCACAGGGGAATTATTGTGTCTGTCCGTCCGTCGTGCATCCAAAAATGGGAGGGGTGGGGATGGGTGGAGAGGGAGGGGGGAGGGGCTGGTGGGAGGGTGGGCTGGGTGGGGAGGGTGGGGAGTGGCTGGGTGGGGAGGGTGGGGCTGGGTGGGGATGGGCTGGTCACCCCGTGGTGCCCTTATAAAACTCAACGTTTAACCTACTCACGCCGGCTTGTGCCCGCCCTCACATTCGGGCATATTTGCAGGAATACGCCACGCCGCCGTTGACCCTGGCCATTGACCGAGCAACCCAACGTTCCTACCAGCTCCCTCCGCAGGAATGTGTTTAAAATATATACTCATTTGTGTGAGGACATTATTGGTGGCTGTCCCATGGAAAGACTGGTACCCCCAATAGGCATGCGGGTGATCGACTAGAACCCACCACAGCAATGTGGAATTTTCCACAACTGCCTCAGGGTCGACAGCGGAGGTGAGCCCGCTGTCCGATTGCCCATTTGGATAGGGAGACACCGTCACTACGAAGCTGGTGACATAAGTTTGATTCCTTGCCAAGGTGAGCGCCAGTGACGAGTAATGCCGGGGTCAGTCCTGGGCTCCGTCTCCCTTCCCTAGCATGTAGTGCCCAGAGTAGTGAAGTATGATGAGTAGAAGAAAGAAAGAACACGATCGAGTCCTTCGGCCGTTGGTGGCTTGAGAATGACCGCGTTTTATTTAATTTGTAAATTATACATTGTGTTCAGACAATCATGGTGGGATAACTCTCAAAGGCTAGACAAAACAATCCACTTGCAAGTGTGACAACCATGTAACCGTTTCCTAAGAAGGTTAATATTTAGTTTCCACGAGAAAATTAGTTTTCCTGACGCCCCTATAATTTTCGATATGGGTGCAGTTAAGCCGAGATGAAACGCGTGTCCTTTTCTCTCTCTCTCTCGCCCGTCAGCTCGGTTGCGTTTCCATCCATTGTGCAACGGCCCCAAGTTTTAAGTGTTACAGTTGCACACGATCTGAACGCAGCTGTGGAAAGCTAATGAATTACAAGAGTTAATTGCAGTGCACGTTTCTCAACGTTACACGGTTTCATAGGACTCCACAGCCTGGCATGCTCGAACACCCTTCATTTGCTGGTTATGAAACCATTTAGACGAATTACTAGTCGAAGGTCTGATGGCTGGGTGGCTCAAAGGTCAAAGTGCTGAGTCAGCACAGCTGTGATCCTGGGTTCAAATCTCTAGAGTGGGCCACCATCCATCAAGTGCAGCGAGTATCTCGATGGCCCTCACCGACACTTTGAGTTGGCGGTCTCAACAACAAACCGGCCGCACGTTCAGTTCTATTGACCCGGTGGTCTGGATAAGGCTGTGAATGTTTACGTGTGCGATGCCGCACATCGCGGCGTGTTGTTGAATTCTGACAAACGAAGCTTCCCGCAGTCACGACGAGCGCGTCGCCGTGTCTCCTCCGAGCGCGTCGCCGTGTGTCCTCCGAGCGCGCCGCTCTAACCACGCCGCCCGTGCCGCCCACGCCGCCGCCGCCACAGGTCTCCACGTGGTTCGCGAACGCGCGCCGCCGCCTCAAGAAGGAGAGCCGGGGCCCGGAGAGCGGCGACCACGAGGATGGGGAGCCCTGGGGCCGCGACGACGACGGCGGCGCCCCCCCGGCCCCCGGCGACGGCGACCGGGACGGCCGGCCCGAGAGCCGGTCGGGTGACGCCGCGGCAGTGGCGGCGGGGGCGGCCGCGCGCCAGCGGGGAGACGGTGGCTCCCCGTGGGCCGGGACCCCGGAGAGGGGCAGGGGGCGGGGCGACGACGAGGACGACGACGAGGACGACGACGACGACGACGAGGTGGACTTTGAGCTGGACGCGAGCGAGGCGGAGGAGGCGGGGTGCGATGGCGGCGACCGAGCGCGGTCGTCCGGCGAGCGGCACCCGGGCGGGCCGGAGGACGCCGCCGTGGCCGCGACGGCCGCGGGGTCGCCCCCACCGCCGCGGAGGAGGGGCCCGCCCGGGGAGGCCGAGCGCGGCGCGCCGTCCGCGTCGGCGTCCCCGCCGGCCCCCCCGTCGCCCGTGACACGCGAGGGCGGCCGCGCCGAGGCCGCCGCCGTCGCGGCGGCGGAGGTCGAGGCCGAGGCGGAGGACGAGAGGCGCCGGCGGCAGCGCACGCCGCACCCGCCCTGCAAGGCCAAGATCTGGTCGCTGGCCGAAACGGCCACGGCGCCGGATTCCCCGAGGCCGCTGCGTTGTGGCGGCGGCGGTGGCGGCTCCGGGGCTGCGGCGGCGGCGGCGGCGCAGCTTCACCACGGCTCCCTCCACCACCATCACCACCATCACCACCACCCGGCCTTCCTGGCCGCACGACCACTGCAGCTCACCTGTCCCGTGGGGCCGGCACGGCTCGCACCGTGGGGCGCCAGCATCAGGATTCAGCAGCAGCAGCAGCAACAGCAACAGCAGCGAGCAGCGTTTGAGACGTGCTGCCTTCCTGCCGATCCCTCTCGGCCGCTCGCTAGACCTGCGATGTGGAAGAGCAACGGGTGAGTGACTCGTCGTGAGCTGGCGATGTTGGCAGTGTGCTGTATGTGTGTGTGTACGTGCGTGTACAAGCACGGTGCTGGAAACGCCAGCCCTTGTTCGTAGTTCATCGGTGCACGCTGCACCATGTGTGCGTTTGCTAGTTCGTGTTGCTGGGAGGCAGTGGTGCAGTGATTACAGCACATTGCTCTCATACCACTGCCCTGGGTTCGATTCCTTATCATGGATTGCAACGGTGGCAGCTGGAATCTGAGACTTGTGCTGGACCTCTCCGAGATTGATTTGGCACTAAATGAGAACCTATTATGGTGTGGGAATATCAGCAATGGCAAGACAAAGGTGACTTGATATGGTCCTGGCCACAACATCCCCCGCTTGTGCAGTCCTAGCCCAAGTAGGTGCTCACTGACAGAACTTGTCTCTGCAGCTCTAGGTCTAGCTTCGTGCCTGTTTGAGATGATATCCAGACTAACGAGCTTGACCAACTTCTGCAAAACACAACCATGTTGGGGCTTGGGCAATGTCAACTGCCAGTGTGCACACTGACACTCCTCCAAGTGTCCTTCAGTCGGCAAGGCCTCGTTTCTTCGCTCCGACACCTGTAGTAGTAATAACAATAGCCTATCTTACCCTCCCAGAAGCCAACAGGAGTGATTATATGTTTACATCTAAATATCTTGATAATATATATTACTATAGAAAGAGTACTCTTAGATTCTTTCGGTAAAGTCACGTAGGTATAAAATAAAATAGATCGCGACGTTTCGGGCGCAACACAAGCGTGTGTATGTACATGTGTAACTGTACTTGGAGGCAAAGTGAAGTAAAAAGTACTCCAAGTGCACATAGCCTGGCACGAGAACTGTGGTGATGTCATCGTGGCAAATGGCGGCTCTTACTGCATCTATATCTGAACCTGGGCCCCTTGCCCTCATCAGATCTGACGATTGATACAATTGATCAATTCAGTGTATTGTTGGTAAACATTACAATTCAAGATTAACGTGCAATTTATATGCACACGTCACTGTACATAAAGCTGTACAAAGAATACATTTTAAAAGAACACAAATAAAAAAAGATGGTACAAAGGCAGACAAAATTTAATCGATTACTAATTGACATTGTAATATTTATGTTATTTGCAGCTGCTTGCATGTTATTGTGCATTGTCTGTTACACAGTACTATGTGTCAATCAACGTGATGGGCGGAAGTCAAGTGAACTGTCAAAATTCACTATGAACCCTTTCGCCGGAATGTCGTCATTGGCACGAATTTCAGCAAACATGTGGTATTCTCAACGTGGAATGTGGCCTGGGACTCCTCTAGCTTGGCTCAGCCCAAACGGCGAACGGGTGGCGCATTGCCGGCCGACGTCAAATCTGGGGGGAGGGGGGGGGCGAACACAGCTAGGCACGGATGGCACTGGCCACACCACAGTGCAAGAAAAATTGTTTAACATACGTACATGCGTACGTACATAATTATCCCCTCTGCGTTTTACTGCATGTCTAAGTAGATAAGGGCTAAAGCATATTCATTGCTGGAAGCTTCTTCAGTCCCTTCCCACCTGTGTCCAACCAGAAGTGTGACCAGCCACACCAAAGTCGGTGGGCAAATCGAGCGTGGTGGGGTACTCCTACCTCGTCCGAAATGTCTGGCCAGAGTGGAAGAGTAGGCCAAAGTACCCTCTTGCGGGGAGACCCTTCCGCTAGCAGCGGCACGAGCAAGCAATTGCAGTGCTGCACCTTAAGTAATGCTGAAAGGCATTTCGCCCAGCAGGGTTTGCTCTGCTTACGACGGGTCAATGGCCGATCTTTGCGCAGCTAAATAGCCCAAGTTGCCAGTGCACACTCGCCACTGAGCCACCTCTGTTTACGATCGGGGAAGAGCAAAATTACGCTGCGCTCCTCTGAAAGGGACGTTTAAAAACGGCGACGTAATTTTCGAGGGTAGGACCATTAGCCGCACGCACGGTGCAACTCAAACGGCAATTTTTAAAATTGGTCACGACTTAAATTGCAGAATGTCAGACGCGACTGCTTTGAGATGCTCACAGTGTCGACTTGTGAGTATGAACATATCGGCCATGAAACGGAAGGTCCAATTTACGTAATTTATATATTAATAATACTCTAATAATAATACTTTTAAACATTATAATTTATATCCCTTCGTAAATCCACTGCTAGATCCATTCCTTCCAACCCAGTGCCAGTAATGGGGCTTGTTTGACCATGTTTCACCATGCTGGTCATTGGGGTTTTATGAAGGGGGAGGGAGGTGCAGGACAATTTTGCATATTGCACGCGATTGACGTTAGCCGTGGCACGGGAGTCAAACTCAGAGTGCCGGGTTCGTAGCGCAGTGCGCGTGACTGCTCCTTCGTTATAGGAAGAGAGCACGCCACCGAAATCCCCCCAAACGGTTCTCGGATATGCACCGAGGCAATGTCCCGGGTCGTCTAACACAGTCCAGGTGATGTTCCTTCATGAATTACCAGGACAGTCACGCGCTCCACCGTAGCGCTCCTGTGCCGTCAATCCATTCACGTTGTTTTGAAACATTTGGGCGGAGTCTCGAAGTGACATTTCGCGCTGCGACGGCACACCTGAAAGTCGTCTAAAATTAATTTATATTTTTTTCTCTCTTCATCAAAGCTGTAAAGTCTCGTGGGGCAGCGGAGCACTTAGAGATGTGTCTCTACAAGAGCCATTCGTCCTTTTGAGTTGCATTTCTCTAAACCCGCCGAGAGTTCATTAAGATCAATTATCTCTTTTGCAATACGGTTCTGTGCTACTCTATACACATAATGACAGGTGGTGTGTTTTTGCACTTTGCACATGGGTAATTACGGAATTTGGATTGTGACACGCGATCACAATGGCTTTCTCTAGACAACGATGATTCCATTGTGTGTAGGGGCTATCTGCAGAATTGACAAGTTGGTTGGTACCACGTGCTATGATCCCTGTTTACTCGGGTTCGATCCCTGCTCATGATGCATCACCACGTGGAAAGATGTACATGACCCAGGTCTGGACTTGCCCATAGGCATTATTACACTGGTGCAGTGTGGTCATCGTCGGCACAGGGGAGACAAAGGTGGCCAGCTAACAGCACTTGCGCCTACAGTCTATAGATATAAAAGGGGATATTTGTCTGCGTGGGTGTGGTGTGTCTGTGTGCACGTGGGGAGCGGTAGTCTAGCGGTTAGCACACTGCGCTACGAAACCCGGCGACTCGACTTCAGATTCCTGCTCACGCCCAAACACCAGTAATGATTATCTGAACCGGTCCTGGGCCTCCCCTAAGGTCGACTCAGCCTCAAATGAGTATCTGGTGCGGTGTGTAAACATCGCCACTTGGGAGACATGGGCGTCCGGGTGTGGGGACTGGCCACCCCCCACCCCCTCGTGTACCGTGCCGGCCTTCATAGGTGCTTGCTAACAGCACTTGTCCCAACAGTCTGTTAAGGCTATACTGGGGATCTTTGTCTTTGTGTGCAAGTTATTGTGAGCACAACACACCGTTTCACATTGACAGTGACCAATGTATATTTGTCTATTTCAGAACGAGACGGTGAATTAGAAGCCAGCAATGACTCAAAACCTCTCCATGCCATCTTCAGAAAGTGAGTTCTGCTTTTGTGTGTGCTCTCATGAGTGTGTGTATGGCCTTTATCGGTGCATTGCCAACAGCACTTGCCCTACCATCCTCTGTAAGTTACAAGGGTGGATTTTTGGCATAGTGCGTTACAAACCTGGTAACCTGGGTTCGATTCCTGACCACAGTTAACATTCTTGGCAATTATTTGAACCGATCCTGGGTCTCCGATAGGTCAATCCAGCCTGAAGTGAGTAGCTGGTACGTTGTGTAAACATCAGCATCGTCAAGACAAAGATGGCTGGGCGTACTGGAAGCCACACCACTCCCTCGTGTGTCCTTCATAGGTGCTCACTACCAGCATTTTCCCCAACAGCCTGTGTAGGCTACACGGGGGATCTTTGTCTGTACCTTGTGTGTGACAAGGGGAGTGGGGTGAGGAGATGGAGTGGTTCACCCACTGCGCTAGAATTCTAGCACAGTGACTGGAATCTGAACATGCTTTGAGTTTTCCTTGGGTCAACGCTGCCTTAAATGATTACCTGGTGGTCTATGAGCAACAGCAATCGATGAGCAACAGCAAATGGGGAGACTAAGGTGGCCAGGTGTAATGTAACGTTGGCCTCAATCGGCGCTCGCTAAAGTCGGAAGACGTTCAGGTTTGCCACGCTCACTTCCCCAAATGCCCCGCGAATTAGGGCACGCATTGCCACACGCGCGCTCTGCCATGCGCCCGGCAAATTTTCATGAGAACTCGGAAAACGTCACCAGATGTGTTCGCCTGTGGCAGTAAATCGAACGCGGAGATTAGCGAACGCGGGTGTATTGGGCAAGGCTTTGTCGGTAACAGTTCAGTGCAGGTATCTCCCGACATCGTGCCCTCTGCCTTAGCATTGGGTTACATGACCTGCTGCGGCATTGCAATATATATCGGCACCGTGATGTGACTGTCGGTTTAAGGCGGTTGGTATTTTATTCGTTGTACCAGGGGTTCCATTTCAGTTTCGGTTGCCTTTATTAGGTATAACCATGTAAGCCATGCGGCTCTTGACTCGGGTGCAACCGCAACAAACAAAAACATGAACAAGAAACCTCCCTAAAATAATATGAATGAAGTTGCGTAGGGAAAAAAACATTTATTCATTTCAAAGTCTCTACGTCCTTCTGATGAATCCGAATAGGGTGCATAAAAAAGTTAAAACTCCTCCACATCTACGATTACAGAGCCATCGCTTTGACAATATCCAATCAGCTGCTCAGAAGAAAGTCCAGAGCATCATTATTAATCAGTGGGGTAACTGTAAATGGATCGCCCTTTATTATCAAGCAGCGGAAGTTAAGAGCAGCATGGCTGGTCGCACTGCTCTGTTAGCCCAACAATCTGGGGTTTAATTAAAACTGGTTGGCAAATCTGGCCTGGGCTTCTCCTAGGTCAACTCAGCCTAAACTGAGGACCCAATGCTGGTGCTATTGCTATCCCCGACGACCTGCCCATCCGAGATAGCCCAACCGTAATAGGTGTTCACTCACAGCACTCGCTCAATCAGCCAGACACCTACAATTCTCTTTGTGAAGGGCTTCATTTTAAAAAAAAGGGGCGAAACCATCTTTCGCCGATAACATTGCAGATTTAACAAGAGTGTTTAATAGGCGACGTTTTAGGCAATGGCGCTTCTTGGCAGCATCATCGGGAGGGCCAGAGAGGTAGAGTGGACATACAGATGAAGGACATGAGCACGTTATCAAATCCCATCTCTTGACAACTCTGGCCTATCAATGTGCTACGAAGAAGGGGCATTGTCCTGAACGCCGCCTATTATACACTTCGTCATTTTAAGGCCGCGATGTCATTGACGACTGTGTAGAGTTTTTTGGCTACGTGTGCATTGTGCGCCACTGCCAATGCAGCAGCAGTAGCAGTAGCGGCGGCGGCAGCGGCGGCGGCACCGCCACGTAATCTGGCTGTTTCAGGACAAGGTAGCCAGGGCCACACCTGCAGCGCGCGAGCACAGAGAGTGCGCTAGCGCTAGCGCAGAGAGTGTGCTAGCGCTAGCGCAGACAGTGTGCTAGCGCTAGCGCTGCACAAGTGCCGACCCGGATCGTCACGATGTCCCGAAGCCACGCTGGCACAATTGGGATTCTTAGAATTCGGTGTAGAAGCCCCAAAGGCCTCTCTGTATTTTACAAAGCAGCCTGTTCCGGAAGTCTAAACGTGGCGGGAGAAACTCTTCAAGCTGGAATGCACAAACGGTCACCTTGTGTTTCCCCTTGCATCATCAGTCGTGGTCAAATCCACTGCTGAATGAAGGCAGCCCTAAATGTCTGTAACGTGTCTCACGATTCTGCGGCGTGTCAGTCCACCCAGCACGTACACACGAGCCGACTTGAGCGTGCAGACAATGCTTCGGGGGTTTTTTAAATCCTTTATATTAAGTTTGCTTGCTTGCTTGCTTACGACCGTGCAAATCTTTCGGTCGTTTTTTAACCCACATCCCGTGATCCAATCAAGCTGACATTTTCCACACAGACTCGTTGTGCGTGACAATTAATTTTCGTGAAAATTTTTTCCCAAAATTTTACACTGTTTAGGGAAAAAATATATATATTTAATTACCAATTGCTTAATGCTGGCAGACAATCATCTGACCCATAGGTGGCAGCCATCTCAAGCCAGAGGACGAGAGGACTCTAGCCGCCACGCATATAAAGGATTTATAGTGAAAAACTTTGTTTTTACGGGTTAATTTTTTTCATTACACCACTGGTCCCCGTGCCCCCTTATACACCCAGGTTACCCTGGCCACATTACACAGAGAGATCACGTGACCAAGTCTCTAGTTAACACTGTTAGCATTGCATGTGTTTCACGCCGCGTATAAGCGCGTTCTGTGCTCGCAATGTATTTGTTTCAAGTCGTGCTTTAGCGTGCTTTGTGATGCGTTTGCACGATGCTGACGTTTCCCGCGCACGTTCCGAATTTCTCCTGCACGGTGTCCACGCCGCAGCCTGCTGCCGCACCACCAAACCCACCCCCCTCGCCGACGAAAGTCTTTCTGTTGAGCGGCACTTTGCTGACCCCAGTGCGTGTATCGTTGCCTCCGCAGATTTCATCCGCACCTCGACGTCACGACCATTGAAAACCTGTGCAGAAGAAACGACATCGTCCCCATGTAACGCGGTCACGGCCGGAGGATATATATATAAAGCATCGACCAAGCGACACTGATGACATTGTTATTATTATTCTTCTTCTTCTTCAAGTGTGAATATTTTCTAAAGCATTTGTAAGTTTCGCGTTTCAGGATGTTTGCTGTTGTGACTTTGCTTAGCATAAATCGTAGACGCCTGTTTGTTAAAATGTAAAAAAGAAAAAAATACAATAAAAATTGTGATTATTCAGCAAAAAACACGATGACGGGAGTTGACGTGCAAGTGATTTTGAAGCCTGTGAGAACGTTGTTTGTATATGGAGCGCCGTCTGTGCTGTGTTTATAGCAGGGTGAAAGGCAGTCCCGTGCCAAAATGTATATCTATTTTTTTTATTATAATAAAGTTGTCTGGAACATTAAAATGCCTCCCGCTCGAGAGGGACAATACGTGCTTTGTATCTGCGAGAGACAAACACAAGACACACGTTCGATGGCCTGCGTGACCACTGTGGGAGCAGTCGTAAGCCACCGCTTAATCTAACCGTTTGGAGCTAGGGTTGGTGGACAATACACAGATGCGTTCAACAGGCATCGAGGTGCTCGGAGGGCAGCACAGCAAGTAGGCCGACGTGCGAGATGCTGCCACGGTGTCATGGTGAGCACGTAAATCCTGAGGCGGTCGCTGGTTCAATTCCGTCTACTGGTGGGGCAGTCGAAACGGTGGCGCGGGTTTCGTAAATCTCAACTACTGTCCACACAGCTTTAGCACATGGGTACACCACATTGAAATCAATCTGCAGGTCGCTTGCGGTGGGATGAAGGGTGGGGCCTCTTCTGAAACGTCTGACCGACATGGAAGAGTTATTTACACCATTTGTACTTAATTTGCCAGTAAAAAATATGATAATTGTGGTCTATGCAAACATGACTCCTCGTAAAAAAGGTGTCAGTTTTGTTGCCAGATAAAAGGGTAAAAAACCAATTATCATATTTTTTTACTGGAAAATTAAGTACCAATGGTGTAAATGCTTACCCAGAGCTCTCATACTCTGATGGTGCATTGTCTTTGAGTTGTGCGCCTTTTGGCGTCATCTGGTCCAATCCATGTGAGACTAGGCTCTAAGGAAAGCTGTCTCGGGTGTGGACCAATCAACTTCAAGGACAGTGCATACATTATCAGAAGTTATGTTTTTTGTTTGCATTATGACTGCGCAGGTATTGTGGTCTATGCAAACATGACTCCTCGTTAAAAGAGGTGTCAGTTTTGTTGCCAGATAAAAGGGTAAAAAACCAATTATCATGGAAGAGTAAGCCAAATAGCCTCGATTGGAGGCGTTTAGCGGTATGAAGGGACATGCCAAAGTCGATGAGGAAGGTCACGTGTGCAGGCCCTTGTGGACAGCAGTGGCACGGGTTGAGTTATTGCAGGGTTGCACCTTTAGCTTTTTACTGTGGTTGCATGCCACACGCTAGAAACACGCAGACTTGGAAAATAGCTTCACGTAACAAGGCAGGATCCTCCTGAAATGTCGTCTCGAGAGTCGATGTATTCAACTAAAACAATATCCATCATTCCGGACAATTAGAGAAGGATTGGGATAGGCTACACATTTTAAAGACAGAATATCGATTACATTAAGTAAATATGTTCGACTGTAAATTTGCTAAATATTGTATTTCTCCTCTACGTATTCAAGAGCTAATTTGAATGTTAAACATTAAGCATTCCAAATTTGATATACATTATGTATTATTCAGCCTCATGTTACGTGCAATATATTTGTACATCTCAATAAATCACACGCTATGTCATGTGCGGCATTTTGTTTATAAATGGAAGTGCACACACGAGATACATAATACATGAGACAATGCATATGTACACTCTAATTTAATACATTGTCAAATGTCAGCACCTATTACATGTAATTATCCCTTATAAAATATGTATCGTTTGCATCTAACTTATTGAATGTGTACGCATATATATACATAGGGGTGTAGTGCTGGTACATTTGTCAGCAGACTGCACGACAATCGACTCAACGTGGGTTCAACTCCTGACCAGGATGCAATTCACGAGTGGAGAGTGGCATCTGAAGCTGGGTGCATCTGGGCCTCCTTTAGGTAGATTCGGCCTAAATGATTAAGGTGTGCGTTCACGTTGTCAAGAGCAACAGAACTGGGAAACAACGGTGGGCAGGCACCATTGGTCTGAATAGGTGCTCAGCACCAGCGGTTGTTACAATAGTCTACACGATATATAAATAAATAGCATTCGCATGTAATTAATGGAATGAAACAATTAAAATATATCGACCGCCGGGGAGATGGAACGATGAAATCAACTCGTGCAGGTGCTGGGTGGATTACCACAAGATCAAGAGAGGTGGCAGTGCCTTTGGGAAGCCTTCATCCAGCAGTGGATTGACCATGGCTGATGATGATGATAATGTGTATACTGTATGGGCAAAGGGATCCCCTTGTGCATGTGAGAAATAGGTTAGTATTCATCAACATTGGTAGTGCTAAGCCAGCAGTGGAAATTCGACATTACCATGGCAGGGGCCAGCTCGCGCATAGCACCGCCACTCAAGGCAAGTGGTGTTTATACTCTTTGGGTTTTTCGGTAAAGTCACGTAGGTTAAAAAAGAAAACAAATAAATTAAATCACGACGTTTCGGAGGCAACACAAGCTTCCGTTTTCAGGTGAAACCTCCCCCCCGAAAATTGCTGCAATTTTGCTGTTGCAGCAATTTTTCATCTGAAGACGGAAGCTTGTGTTGCCTCCGAAACGTCGTGATTTAATGTATTTGTTTTCTTTTTTAACCTACGTGACTTTACCGAAAAAAACAAAGAGTATGAATCCTTGCAGTCACGAAAGCTTCAAATCTAGAAAGTGGTGTTTATTTCGTCTAGCCTCGAGTGAAGAGGGGATAATTCCCCTGTTCCTGATTGCGAGTTGATCACTCTAACCAGAGCACACTACCCTGTCATTACATATTCATAACTATGACTAAATATTGATTATGTATTCATATGTGTACGTTCACACACATACACACGTATACACTGTTACAAATAAACGCCCTGCCCTTGTCAAGTTTTAGAAGCTGTCGCGGTGTAGACGATGAGCAGCAGCAGCAGCACACTGGAGTTGCAATCCAGAAATCGCCAGTTCATCCTCCCGGCACGGCAGTTGAAACAATAAGGCAGGATTATGAAATGCCCCCTCCCTGCGGTGTAAGCAGGGTGCAACCGTCAGTCGGCCGATAGACGGGTCATGCTTTCGGTGGCGTAAAACTAAACAAATATTTTTGTTTTATTTTACCAGGTAAGGTTCCACTGAGCTGTGTCGGTCTTTTTGCAGAAGTGACCTGGCTACATGACAGCACAACGAAGTGGCTTAACACGTGGAGATGTATAGCAGCCAAATGCTCTAAACGTACATTTTTCTAAATGTGCCGGGGAAAACTGGAGGACCCGGAGAAAAATCCACGCGACCACGGGGAGTGAGGCATGCAAACTCCAAATATACAGCAGGCGTCAGGGCCGGGGTCGAACCCACGACCTCCTGTATACCAGGCGAAGTAGTTAACATCTCCTAGCCACCGTGGCGTAAAGTGTGAATACTCCCACCTCTTCAAATACGTTTGTCCAGTGTGGAAGAGTAGGCCAAAATCACCCTCTTAAGAGAGGCCCTCCAGAGCTCCCTTTGAGGGCAGAGTCTCTTTCCACCGGCGGTGGCGTGATTAAGAAATTGCAGGGCTGCACCTTTACCTCCCCCCGTTATCTAATGAATTGCATATGAGCTTGAACACGATGCGTCGCGTTATTCGCGGCACCTTTCTGGAGGCTATAACAATCCAACACAAGCACGGTTTGCATTTCATATCATGGACGCAGCAAAATGTTTTTGTTGAACAAAATTGCACAATTTTAAAAAGGCAACGCACTTTTATATATCCTCCAGCAATTGCCTAAGCCTCTCAAACACAATTTAAATAACGTACTTACTTTTGGAATAAATTCAATTTTCTAAAATACACAGACCATTACGTGTTATATATTAATTCAATACACACCGTATAATATGAATAAAGTAATTTATTTTTTTAATGCAAACATAAGCTGGTTGCGAAGCGCATTGAGTGTAATGCGGAAGTACATTATTCGCAGCATTTACATATCATTTCCCAGCAATTTTGCCGAAACGGATTTGACCATATATTTTGTAAGTACGCAGCAATTTTAGCATTCGCGTACACCCAGAGCTGCGCATGTATAGAGTCCCATTAAAGTAACACTGCCTATCCCGTGTGGCTATGTGTGCGTGTGCGTGTGCTGGGAGTGGGGGGTGTAGTGGTTAGCGCACTGCGCTACGAACCCGGCGATTAGACATTTGCACTCGTGATACGAACGCGGCTTGGTGCGATGCTGGCCCCACGCCACGCCCTTGATGCGTGAGGAGGTTCGTACCTCCCCGAAGTCGAGCCCGCCTTCAATGAATGATGCACGGTGAGTAAATATCAGGACTAGGGAGACAAAGGCAGCTGGGTGTGGTGCTGGCCATAACACCCGCTGTGTGCCGCGTCAGACATGCTTGCCCTAACAGCTGCTCACTAACAACACTTGCCATAACATGTGCGAGTACTTACATTCACTTGCAGTTATTTGTTATTGTTATTCAATTTCCAAAGGTTATTCCAATATAACGTAGGTTTTTTTTGCGTGTAAATAGATTACAGTTATTGACAATATGCATCCATAACTTTTCAGGTTTACTTGAACTATTATGGACTAAAATATATATTTTTAAAAAACATAAAAAATGAAAATACCAAGTCAGCTACTAAGGTTTGAGCAATAGCCAATGCACATCGACAAAGACGTACGGCCTCCAGCCGTGGTGCTCCAGAGTGCTGTTATTCACGACAAACAATATTCGTGATACTGCTCAGACAACCCTCTTGACAAGGCATCACCATTGTTCGTTCCTCCCTTAAGACTCGTCTCTTCTCTCGAGCGTGCCCCTCTACTAATTCCTGTCCTTGTCCTGCAAATCTTTACCCCCCCCCCCTTCCTCACCTCGCATCTCACTTTCCCTATCGTCACCATTTTCTTGCCACCCCTTCGCCTCCTCAACACTCAAACCCCGTCCATTGTTCCCCCATCGGCCAATATTAATTAACAATATTCTTAGGTTTTTTCGGTAAAGTCACGTAGGTAAAAAACATTAAAAAGTAAAATAAAATAAAAATAAAAATCACGACGTTTCGGAGGCATGATTTCGTGATTTTTATTTTTATTTTATTTTACTTTTTAATGTTTTTTACCTACGTGACTTTACCGAAAAACCTAAGAATATGAATCATTGCAGTCACGAAAGCTTCAAATCTAGAATTAATT